TGACTGTTGGTTATAGCTGCTGCTGGGGGGTTGGCCGTAGCTGGAGCTCTGCGAACTGCTCCCATAGCTGCGGAAACCCAACGACGTTGATCAAAACGCTGTTTTTTCACCCAAACGGCAGCGTTGCGGGCAGCCGTTGCCTACCTGCCGGTGGAGGAGCTGGCCGCCGGCGGCTGGGAGTAGCTGGGGTAGGAGGAGGGTTGCCCGTACGAGGTCTGTGAGCTCTGCCCGCTGCCGTAGCCGCTGGTGCTGCCGTAGGCTTGGGGGGTCGACTGGGTGCTGTAGCCTGGAGGGAAGTGGAAAATGGGGTGAAACACCCCAAAAAAACCACCCAGTGGGGGGACAGCAGGGTGTCAGGGGTCCAGCTTACTGCTCTGGGTCTGGCCGTAGGAGGAGCTGTAGCTGTTCTGGCCGTAGGCGGAGGTGTCGGTCGACTGGCTGTAGCCGCTGTAGCTCTGCTGGCCGTAGGGCTGGCTGCTCTGCTGCGAGTAGCCCTGCCCTGGCGGGGTGGGGTACGCCCCGTAGCTGCCGCAAAAAGCGAAAAAACCCACATCAAATCCCCGCAAAAACACCCTCTTCCCGACGTATTTCTAAAGGTCGAGATGTAAAAGTTTAAATATAAGGAGGAAGCAAGGGGGTGTACCTCTGCGTTGCCGTCTGGCTGTAGTCTGTGGGAAGAAAACCCCCCAAAAGACCGTTAGTTGCATAAACAAACATGTATGTACCTACATATAAATACGTTTGCGTTATATGCTCAAAATTATTAGTTATTTATCACTGAAGCACAGAAACAGCCAAACTTAAGGCTCAAGATGGGGGTTTGGGTATTTATCCTACTCAAAGCACCCAAGCGCCTACTTTAAGAGCAAACATCCCCGCTAAAAAAAAAACACCTGAACAACAAATTTAACTGCGTAGACGTAAAAACAAACGCCGACACCCAAGTTTTCCTCAGATATCTCACAGCAAAAGGGGGCCCGGACCTCCCCCCCCAAGCTCCCCGCCGCAACATGGCGGCCATTTGCCTCCTCCCGCCTTGTAGCGGCGCAGCTGCTCCTGCCGTTGAAAGAAACTGGGAGGATTTTACCCAAAACAAAGGGGTTTTTTAGGCGGCCCCAGCCCCCCCGGGGGAGTATTTTCCCCCTCCAAGGGGTATTTACTCACCCGTGGAGGGGTATTTTAAAGGCGAAAACCCGGATGAGGGACTGCGGCAGCGCCAGCGCGCATGCGCCGCGGGAAAAGCCACCCCCTCCGCGCGCATGCTCAGCCCGCCCCGCGCACAAAAT